CAGGCAAAGGCTGGATCCAAAGCAAGCTTTCTCGTCCTCCCTCTTCCTGCACTCCTTTTACCTAAATGTCTACATTTTTGTTTTATCCTTTATTTCTGATGTCTCTATTGATCCAAACGAACAATTCCACATCAACAATCTTTTATGGCCCCCGGACAGCCTGCTAACTCAGAACTGAAGCCACTCCTGAAGTCCACCCTTCAGCCAAAGATTAGGCAGGCCTATAAAACAAACAGTAACACACGTGAGGAATCTGCTTCTAAGTCCAATCACGTGTATGAGACCAAATGGACAACACCTGCCCAAAGGCAAAGATGAGAAGGCAGGAAGGGACAGGAAAACTGGACAAATGGACATGGGGATCCCGGGATGGAAAGGGGGAGAGTGCGGACACATTGCAGGGATTGCAACCTGTCACAAAACAATTTGTGTATGAATTTTTCAATGAGAAGCGAATTTGTGCTGTAAACTTTCACCTAAAGCACAATAAAATTAAAAAAAAAAAGAATCTTTTATGGAAAATGAGCCAAATAATGTATCTTGTACTGTCACCAGTGGGATCTATTTTATTCTTTAAGCAGGTCATTCCATATTATTGCTAATTTTTGACTCACTTGACAGTACCGATGTCATCTAATGAATTTTCCCATGCCACCTTCAGCACAGATGTGCCCTGGGTATTTTTGGGTATGTTCTGCCACACTGAGGTTGCAGGAAGCATCTGGTTTCTCTGTTTTTCTAAATCAAGATCTAGCGCAGCCCCTTGCCCACAGGTGATGGCTGGACCTTCATTCTCAGGAGTGCCAGCTCCTCTCTCCCTTGGGACCATCGTGGGGAGCAGGGAGGAGATGCTGGCCCTGAGCCAGCCCAGCAGCTCGGAGCTCACACCTCTGGTCTTCAGCCCGTGGTGCCACTTGTTGCAAACTGACCTAAGTCAAATTGATTATTTCTAATTGTCAGGTTCTTTCTGACAATATCGATAGTCTGATGATGGGAGGTGGGAGCCATTGGTTCCGTCCCCAGCAACCTTGCTGCCAGGTAGTCTGTTGCAATGAAAACAGTTCCTAGAAGAAATTCTGCCCCACGTAGGAACACTTATTAGCAAGCAGGCAAAAAAGAGTAATTATGCTTGTCATCTCTGAGGAGTCCCAGCTGTGGCACCTGGCTGGGGAGAGTTTGCTGGGAGCAGATGCAGCAACACTCCGTTGCAGGATTGGCTGATCTTCTGAGTGGCTGGCAGAGTTTTTTTTAAGAGCAAAGCTCAGGCAGGACCTAAGGGAGTCGTGGGCATTTGAATGTCACTCTGAAGGGCATTGGGCTTCCAGGCTCACCTGATTCTCATATCCCTTTTGTTCAAGAGCAGAAATGCCTGGATGGTATTTCTAGTTAATCCATTTATCCTGAACACCCTTAGGCTAATAGAAGACTGTCCTGGATTGAATTGTGTCCCCCAAAAATATGTGTCAACTTGCTTAGGCCATGATTGCCAGTACTGTGTGGTTGTCCTCCATTTTGTGATTGTAATTTTGTGTTAAAGAGGATTAAGGTGGGATTGTAACACCACCCTTACTAAGGTCACATCCCTGATGCAATGTAAAGGGAGTTTCCCTGGAGTGTGGCTTGCACCACCTTTTATCTTGCAAGAGATTAAAGGAAAGGGAAGCAAGCAGAGAGTTGAGGACCTCACACCACCAAGAAAGCCGTGCTGGGAGCAGAGTGTGTCCTTTGGACCCGGGGTTCCTGAGCAGAGAAGCTCCTAGTCCAGGGGAAGATTGATGAGAAGCACCTTCCTGCAGAGCTGACAGAGAGAGAAAGTCTTCCCCTGGAGCTGATGCCCTGAATTTGGACTTCAGGCTTCCTAGATTGTGAGAGAATAAACTTCTCTTTGTTAAAGCCGTCCGCTTGCAGTATTTCTGTAATAGCAGCGCTGGATGACTAAGACAAAGACCCGCTCATGTCATTTCAGATGAGCATAATACTAACCCTCTTAGTAACCATTTCTGGAGTAGGGACCCTGGGTTAGGATTTTTCAGTGCCAACTAGCCATTCCTGGAGTGTGGATGACTGCTTTGAGTTTTTCAAAGGTTAACAGTCCCTGGGGTACACATTAAAGCCAATTCACGTAGCCTCGTTTGTTGCATGGTCTTTACTGAATTACTTTTGAGTAGATGATGGGTGATGTAGCTGCTTCTGCTCTAGTTCTCCTTGGACTCCCAGCCCCAAACCTTCCTAGTCCTCCTCCATAACAGAACTCTTTCTCAAGGCTTCCAGCCCAGCCGAGTGCCCATCTGTCTGTCCCCAGCAGGCCCCAGCACCCCAGGGCTCTGAGTGTGATGGGCACAGGCTCTGGGATCCTGAGACTCCAGCACACCTGTCCTCTCAGTCTCTCTTGGAAGGACTGTTCTTAGGTCAGTCCCCTCCCGCCTCCTTCACCCTAGGGGCTCACACCTTCGCCGCAGCCGCCCCTGTGCAGGGCCCCGCAGATGTCGAGAGGGGCCTCGGCAACTTTATTCCTTATGCTTCTAGCATATTAAAATAGAAGAAGGTATATCAAAAAAGGGCCACAAAAATTGTGGTACAGGCAGTCCCCAGGGTTAAGAATGTCCAACTTACGTACAACCCGTCTTTGCAAACAAACCTCATGAAGCCTATCAGGAAAACACTAACTTGGTGTTTGCCCCCCGGCTCCCGTGACGGGGCGTGCTTCTCCCACGTGTGCAGGTGCCGTAGTGGGTCATTGGATGGCTGCTGGCAGCGGGCGGGCCCCTACGACGTGGTACGTGCAGGCGGGCTGAAGCAGCCAGCAAAGAGCACCGGCCTCCCTTGGAGCTCGGAAAGGGTCGGCCCCACAGTGTGCATGCCCCAGGCACTGCCGCTCCACTCCATGTGGTGGGCCTGCAGCTTAGATACTAACCCTACCCAACTGTTTTGACTTACATACAAATTCAACTTGAAGACAGATTTAGGACTGGGATTCGTTTGTACTTTAAATCTGTTTATACCTAACAAAGAACTTTTAACACACACAAACGCTAGCATAACCTCATCTGGAGCGGACATCTAAAGTCTAAGTTGTGGGTAATGTGAGACCTCATGCAGTAAAGCCTTCTGGAGCCCCTGTGATAGCCCAGCTTCTGGCCGAGACTTTGGAGAACAAAGTCTTCTTTTTCTTTTCATATTTTATTAAAGTATCACACAGCAGTGTTTACACAGCAAATTGGGTTCCCACTTAACAATATTTATACACATTGCTCCATGACAGGGGTTACAATTTCCAGTATGTGTCAGTATTCTCATTATCTCCATTCTGTTTGTTCTGTTTCCATTGATCTTGCTTCTCACCCCCTCCTTACCTTCTCATCTTTGCCTTAGGGTAAATGTTGACCGTTTGGGCTCATACAGTTGATTACGTAAGGTAGCACAGTACTCGTGGGTGATATTGTTTAGTTTATAAGCCAATCTATTATTTGGCTGAAAGATGACCTCTGGGAATGGCTTCAGTTCCAAGTTGAAAGGGTATTTTAGGGTAAGAGTCGTGGAGGTTCCTCTAGTCGATCGGTCCAGTAAGTCTGGCCTTTTCAGGAATTTGAGTTCTGCATCTGTCTCCTGTTCTATCCAGGACCTAATATGGTGTCCCTGGCCAGAACAGACGGTTACGGTAGCCAGGCACCATCTAGTTCTTGTCTCAGGCCAGGTGAGGTTGTGGCTCATGGGGGCTATGAGTCCTGTGGACTAGTTTCTTCTTCGGGCCTTTGGTTTCCTTCCTTCTCTTTTGCTCCAGATGTGTAGACGTCAATAGTTATTTCTTAGATGGCCACTGGCAAGCTTTTAAGACCCCAGACGCTACTCCCCCGACTAGGATGTAGGACATAAACTTTATAAACTGTGTTATGCCAACTGACTGAGTTGCCCCAGGAGACTAAGAACAGAGTCTTCCTAACCCTCCCCTGGCCCAGGGAAAGCCCAGCTCTCCAGATCCCAAAGTCCCTTCTTCCCTCTCAAGCACAGGAAGGAAAAACACCTCTTTACTCAGAGACCTGGTTAGTGTATCAACAGGTTATCCTGCCTTCCAGAGATGGCCTTTCCCCATCACCAGCAGAGAGTACCTGACCTCTGATTGTTTTGCGTTTGCCCCAGATATGGACTAGAGGCTTCCTTTATTGTTGTTAGTTGCCACTGAGTCACCTCTGCCTCGTGGTGACCCCATGCAAAAGAGAACAAACTGTTGCCCAGTCCTGCACCATCTCCATGATTGTTGGTATTCTCGTGTCCATTGTGGCTGCCACTGTTTGAGTGTCTTCCCACCTAGGGGGCTCATCTTCCAGCACTATGTCAGACAATATTCTGTTGTGATCCATAGGGTTTTCACTGGCTAATTTTCAGAAGTAGATTGCCAGGCCTTTCTTCCTGGTCTGTCTTAGTCTGGAAGCTCTGCTGAAACCTGTCTGCCATGGGTGACCCTGCTGGCATTTGAAATACTGGTGGCATATCTTCCATCGCCACAGCAACATGCAAGCTGCCACAGTGGGACAAACTGACAGAAGACAAACTGATAGAGGAGAGGTGGAAAGGCTGTCCAAGCCACACCTTTTTCTCTGATTCTCCAGCTGCCTACGTGTCATGTAGCCCCCAGCACCAGTGGCGTGCAATTAGGGAACCTGTGGGAGTTGGCGAGTGGCTGGCTTCTTAGCTCAGTTGAATCACAGACTAAAGAGAATTCAGCAAAAAGCACCCGTACCCTAAAAGTTCAGGACGGAGGCCGGGTGGAGGATGCCACATACTTGAGGAACCCTCACGGGCTGCAGGCTCTGTTGGACAGTGGGCACGTGGGGCACCTTTTATTAATCTTTAAATGGTTTATGATGTGTTTCAGATCTTTTAAAATTTTTTAAAAACTTACCTTCAGATTTCTTTAAGAACGAGAGGAGCTATAAATAAATGAGATGACCTATGTAAATAAAACATTGTATTTACCCTAAACGCCTCTTTTTCTCCCGCAGAATCTGGTCAACATTTCCGGTGAGGACATCCACGTTCACGTCTTACCCCCACAAACCAAACACTTTGAGATCAAGTATGTGAAGAAAGTGAGTGTCACTGGTAACCTGTCTTTTCCACTGTGTTCTCTGCTGGGCTGGGGTTTCCCGTGTCGTGGGTCAGTTTGGGGTGGATGTATGGCATGTCGTCCACCCCGAGTCCTGCCCTCTACATGGTCAGGGGCTTGCCCTGACCAGGGTCACTTGCCTTCCAGGAACACCGCCTGGTCCCTGGCTTGTCCCTCACGGTCACCATTATATTTTCTCCAGCTGAGTGGCGCTACTATTATGATTGCATCCGTGTTCACTGTAAGGTAAGTCTCTTAAATTTCTAGGGGGACAAAGGACAAAAACTTATATCCTCAAGTGAGGAAGAAAAGATGATGCCTGGGTGTTACTGTGGTAGCCTGATGGGCACAGACGCTGTGTGTCAGGGACGCGGTCCCAATCAAAAGGTGGTAGGCTCCTGAGAACTGGGGCAGAGCCAAGAGACCCTGTTTAGGGCAGGTTTCCACCTGCCCTGTGCCCCAAACCTCATTTATTATGTGGGAGGTGATGAAGGCTTTTCAGATAACTTAAATGCTCTCCAGTAAGTGCTGGGTTAAAAAATTAACAACCACCGTAAGCTGTGGTCATAAACATTGGTGACTGGACTGTGTCTTGTGTGGGAATGTCCTTAGAGGGAGCCCTGGGGGTTTGCAGGGTGTGGGAGCCTGTGTGGCTGGACCCCAGATCACTCTGCTATTTGAGCTCTTAGGAGCCTTGTCAAGGTCGCCTAATTCATTCTTTGGCCTCAACCCAAACCAGCATGGAGTCTTGTGAGTCTTTTTCTTAAAACTGTCAACTTTACGCCTCCCTTTGCACTGTCTTCCGGGCCCAACCCTTGTGACTTGAGAAGCCTTAAGGTTAACTAAATTCCTCATTTTTCAAAACTAAAATGGAAGAGTATGCTTTAATACCACCTGAGTTTCAGTTTAAAAAACCAATGACAAACCAGAATGTTGTTTTCAGGAGGCATTCTGTACCGAGCAGAAGAAAAATCCCAAGGGGAGGCATCGTATGCCAGGGCTGCTTTCTTGCTATTGAAAAGTAATGCTAATAACCTTGCCTCACAGTTACGTAGTATGTTTAGCATTCCTGTAGACGCCTCTAAGGAAAGGCATAAGTATCCCCCTTTTGCCAAGGAAGAAACGAGGCTGGGAGAGATTACACATTATGTGGGGACTAGAAGCAGGCCTGTGCACCCTTGTGCCCATTCATATTTTAATATGCAGTGTGTCTTAGTTATCTAGTGCTGCTATAACAGAAATACCACAAATGGATGGCTTTAAGAAATAGAAATTTATTTTCTCAGTTTAGGAGGCTAGAAGTCTGAATTCGGGGCACCAGCTCTAGGGGAAGGCTTTCCCTCTCTGTTGGCTATGGGGGAATGTCCTTGTCTGCTTTCAACATCTGTGGACCCAGTGTACCTTCGATATCTACATGTGTCTTGGCATCAATCTTCCCGTGGGTCTAGGTGTTCTTGGCACAGGGACCGTGGATCCAAAGGATGCGCTCTGCTCCTGGCTCTTCTTTTTTAGTGGTTGTCAGGTCTCTTTCTCTCTGCTCATTTCTCTCTCCTTTTATGTCTTATAAGATAAAAGATGATGCAGGCCACACCCCAGGGAGACTCTCCTTATATTGGATCAGGGCTGTGGCCTGAGTAAGTGTGCTACATTCTACCCTAATCCTCATTAACATGACCTAATCCTTCCTCATTAATGTCATGGACAGCTCACTCTCAAATGAGACCATAACCATAGGCATAGAGGCTGGGATTTATAACACATCACAAAATGGAGGATAATCAGATCACAAAATGGAGGACAACCACACAATATTGAGAACGATGACCTAGCCAAGTTGACATATTTTGGGGAAACAGTTCAGTCCATAACACAGTGCTATGTGGATCAGCTGATTCTGTGGTAATTTCTCTATGTCAGGCCATTAAAGACAGTGTTTCCTTACAATCTTCTGAAATAGAAGCAGTTAGAAATAGAATAGTCTTCTGGGTGGTGCAAACAGTTTAATGCACTCAGCTGCTAACCAAAAGGTTGGAGGTTTGAGTCCATCAAGAGTTACCTTGGAGAAAAGGCCTGACAGTCTACTTCAGAAAAATTAGCCATCGAAAACCCTACGGAGAACAGTTCTGCTCTGACACACGTGGGGTTGGCATGAGTCACAATTGACTCGATGCAACTGGTTTATCATTATCTTTAGCTTTTCTGAATAGTGATAATCATTTCAAAGAAGTGCACTTGAAATTTTCTATACTTTGCTTATGGCTAAGAAAACTCAGTATTTCTAATGTTGTACTTAAATACTCAGATTTTTTAAGGAAGTTCCCCTCCCCCTTTTTTTAATTGTTGTAGTTTAAGTGAAAGTTTACAATTCAAGTTAGTCTCTCAGACAAAAATTTATACATACATTGTAACGTGACCCTAATTGCTCTCTCTATACTGTGACAGCACACTCCTCCTTTCCACCCCAGATTTCCCGTGTCCATTTAACCAGCTCCTAACCCTCTCTGCCTTCTCATCTCACCTCCGGACAAAAGCTGCCCATTTAGTCTCGCATATCTACTTGAGCTAAGAAGCACACTCTACGAGTATCACTTTATGTCCCACAGTCCAGTCCAATCTTTGTCTGAAGAGTTGCCCTCAGGAATTGTTTTAATTCTGGGTTGACAGAGAGTCTCAGGGCCATGCTTTCTGGGGTTCCTCCAGTGTCGGTCAGACCATTAAGTCTGGTCTTCTTACTAGACATTGAGTTCTGCATCCCACCCTTCCCCTGCTCCATCAGGGACTCTCTGTTGTGTTCCCTGTCGGGGTGGTCATTGGTGGTAGCCGGGCACCAGCTGGTTCTTCTGGTCTCAGGCTGATGCAGTCTCTGGTTTATGTGGCACTTTGTGTCTCTTGGGCTAATACTTTCCTTGTGTCGTTGGTGTTCTTCATTCTCCTCTATTCCAGGTGGTTGAGATCAATTGATGCGTCTTAGATAGCCGCTTGCTAGCTTTTAAGACCCCAGATGCCACTCACCAAAGTAGGATGCAGAACATTTTCTTAATAAACTTTGTTATGCCAGTTGACGTAGATGTCCCCGAAAGCATGGTCCCCAGACCCCCGCCTGTGCTACTCTGTCCCTCGAACTGTTTGATTGTAATCAGGAAACTTCTTAGCTTCGGTTTAGTCCAGTTGTGCTGACTTCCCCTGTAGTGTGTGCTGTCCTTGCCTTCACCTAAGATAGTTCTTGTCTACTATCTAGTTAGTGAATAACCCTCACCCTCCCTTCCCACTCTCATAACAATCAAAGAATGTTTTCTTTTGTGTTTAAGCCTTTTCTTGACTTTTTATAATAGTGGTCTTACACAATATTTGTCCTTCTGTGACTGACTAAATTCACTCAGCGTAATGCCTTCCAGATTGCTCCATGTTATGTTTCACGGCTTCATCAGTGTTCTTTATCATTGCGTAGTATTCCATTGTGTGAATATACCATAGTTTGTTTATCCATTCATCCATTGATGGGCACCTAGGTTGTTTCCATCTTTTTGCTATCGTAAACAGTGCTGCAAGGAACATGGGTTTGCATCTATGTATTCATGTGATGGCTCTTATTTCTCTAGGATATATTCCAAGGAGTGGGATTTCTGGATCATATGGTACTTCTATTTCTAGCTTGTTAAGAAAGCACCAAATCGATTTCCAAAGTGGTTGTACCATTTAACATTCCCACCAACAGTGTATAAGTGTTGCAGTCTCTCCACAACCTCTTCAGCATTTATTATTTTGTGTCTTTTGGATTAATGCTAGCCTTGTTGGAGTGAGATGGTATCTCGTTGTAGTTTTGCTCTGCATTTCTCTAATGGCTAATGATCGTGAGCATTTCTTCATGTGTCTGTTAGCCACCTGAATGTCTTCTTTGGCGAAGTGTCTGTTCATATCCTCTGCCCATTTTTTAATTGGATTATTTGTCTTTTTGTTGTTGAGGTTTTGCAGTATCTTGTAGATTTTAGAGATTAGAC